TACACCAATACAGTGTTTAGACCAGCATTGATACCGTAACTAAACCTCGCTTTCTGTACAAAGTATTTCATATTACGTCATATGATAGCTATAGGGGGACGTATTAATTTAGTCTGGTATTTAATTTAGTCTGGTATTTTGTGTACAACTCTTCATTCTCATTACCGAGTAGCAACACAATTCATGATTTATCTTTCTTTTGGAAAAGAGCTGTAGTTATTTTGTCAAATTTAGGCACAAACAACTGATAACATGTTGGTAAGTGAAACCTAACAGAAAGTGTGTCAAACATTAAATCACTGACATAGAACACATTGAATACTGACACGTAATTTCGACATCTTTTCAGAAGAAACCTTGAAACGCGTGCGTACTAACACTAACTCGCTTCACATTTAACTGGCAATCTTTTTATTCAGTCAAAAAATACATATCGGCACTTCTCACGACGACCTGGGGGGCAATACTTTGTTTTTTTTTATGTTAAATGAGTTTAACTCTATAAGTCGGCTGGGTTCAGATCGCTGATTCACAATTGTAATCTCTTTCTTTCCTGAATAGACAATATATTCTTCTACAATTTCAAATCCTCATTCTCATCATTTTATATCAACATGATTAACCACATCCGGGGTAAAGTATTTTCTTTTTATCATAAAGGAGATATAATATATTTCATTTGGCTGTATGCAGAGCTCATGTTTACAATGTTAGTCCTTCACAATATCAATCAACTCCAAAACCAATTTTAACACTGAACCACTTTCGTACACCGAAACTTGATTTCCTAGACTGGGAGGTAATTTTCTGTTGATTGTTATGTAAAATAAGCTTATATATGATTTTAAAAGTTTTGTTCAGAGCCCCGGTTAACTTTTGGATGTTGGAAAAAATATACATCTATTTACCAATGGAAACGCCGTCCTTATCATTAAATACAAAAAGGCGAAAGACGATTTAGACACATATGGATGTAAATTGTTTTCGGGAATATTTGTGGAAACAACATAAAAAGCAAAAAGGAAATATATTAAGGATGAAATGTGAGAAAGATTGAGTTCCTGGTTGACAATATGTTTGTTGATATTGATGAAAAGAGGTTGTATGTACAATGCAGTGGATTCGATTTGAAGAGCTTGCTCTGAATATTATTATTTCCGTAATAGAAGGCAATGAATAAGTTGTCTGCTCGCCATATATCTTGATATATTATGTAAATAATCTTTTATTATTTTTGTCATATGAAGGTCGAGTGTTGTCTAAATGTTTCTTTATATAAGTTGTCTTGTGATTTTTCTTACAAACTGTTGTAACCAAATTCAGCATTGAACCGCCGTTCCCTTCACCAAATCGAGGTTTTCTCAACGGCTGTACTCAGTTTTGTGTCATATGCTATGATCGAGTTATGGGCTAAAGACTTACCTCACAGTTTTGGCCGCTTTCAACCTTGAACAAACTTTATATCCCTGTTCCTATTCAAACCAATATTCACCTGAACCTGTCGAAAACTTGACATACGTACGTGTTCAATAGGTCTTTCCTGTTCGGCAAATGTGAAACATTAAAGTTTGCAAATCTATTTGACTGAGTTTGACGCTTTTTATATGCTCAGGGAATAGTATCAAACGTAATTTATATACAAACTACTAATACAGCTATTATAACAAAGTACATCTTAATTAAAAGATATATTAAATAGTTTCGATAATACATATCCACGACCGTTATGCAAAGCAAAATAAGATCGATCATGAATTGAATGTGATTGTTATGATATAGATTTTGGTTAAGAACTGTTCACTCCTTGTTTGTAATAACATGTCTCTGTGTAGACTGTCTTGATAATAAAAAACAAAATTCAGATCCCTCAATGCCATTGAGTATGATTATTATCTTGCCTTGACAAGGAAGCCCATACCTTTTTATTAAAACAAACCTGATCAATGTACCAAGCATTTAGTAATCGTACCTGCATGTTTTTATACCACTATCTTTGTACATTTGGGTATGGTATAGTGAACATGTATAAACTGTGTAAGGCTGTACAACTTTGTTTTAAACACACAAATGTGTAGGATTCTGCTGTTAGCAGTTAATCTTCTATATTTCTGTATCTATATGTACGAGTGAGCGAATAAGCATGTCAGACATTAGGAAGGAGTTTGTATCAGCATCGCTCTACAACATGCTTTGTATATATTTCAACCTTGATATGTACATACAAATCGATTCTTACGTGTTGAAATAATGTACATAAATTAATACGATATTTCCTATATAAATGTATGTGTGATGAGATGATTAATCCCAGTACGTGATTTATTCATCAAATAGTTAGCTTCTAAGACACAAATGAATATAATATTCAATACATAATTGTATGTGTGATAAGATAATTAAATCCAGAATGTGATTTATTCATCAAATAATAAGCTGTTAAGCAACAAATGTATATAATACCCCATACATGAGTGTATGTGTGGTAATATCATTAGTCCTATATGTGTTTTACTCGTCCTATTTAGGAATTAACTTGTAACTGATATCCATAGTTTTATAACTGAAGATATCATACGATAAAGGATCTTTGGGTGGCAAAATAAGGTTCTAAGGAAATAAAATAATTTGACTGACCATCAAATCCCTTGCTACTTTCATTTCGAAAGAATCGGAATCTAAATATCTTTCCTCAACAGCGTGAAATAAACAAACAAACAATACTTACAGCTAAACTGGAAAAACTGTTTCAATATGCTATTAACAAACTTGTTTTGAAAAAGATTAACTATATTGTCCTTCATTAAACCAACTTTGTTGTTTTCCACATCACTCTCTCTCTATATATATATAGATGCATTAAAACCTCGTTATACTGAAACCATTTGCTACAGCTATTATGATGATGTAAGTTGGTTTGGTGATCATTGAGTGAGACATATAAAGGGATCGTTATATAGAGACTTTGAATTAAAGCGACGGTAAAGTGAGGTAGTAAGTGAAGAGACGACAGTATATAGAGGTATAACAGTAGATCAATACTTACTAACATTATCACATAATATGACAGGTATAATCGGTTACTTCCTGAGCTAAATAGCGACATGCTGAAAAAATATGTACAAAGAATGTTATGTGACCAAAAAAATGAAAAAATATACTGATAGGCCCTCATCATAAATGAAAACAAAAAGCAAAACGATTTATCGATAGATATAATAACAAACATAGGATTTACAGATATTGTTTTAAAGCAACTATTTGATATGTGAAGACAATACAAGGTGGTCTGTCTGGAAATGCATAACTAGAATGGTAGGAAGGTTTACAAACATGTTCATAAGAGTATTTTAAAAAATAACTATAATGAATTTTTGTCATTTCTATATATATAAACTAAAATAAATCAGAAATGAGTTAATTAAAAACTACTAGGCAGGATCTTTGACTCACTGAATACATGACCTACTACATCATACATACATAACCTCTAAATCAAAGTGATTTAAAACGCTATTAGAATAAAATACTAAACAATCAACTGAACACGTACGTAAACAAACATGCATTATTGAGTCAGTGTCTTAAGGAAACTTGACTCTTTCGTCTGGAATTGACAAGCTGTCAAGTACTACATGTATGTGTTCGTTTGGATACAGAAGATACAATGAGTTGTTCTGCCAATTGAGTATGAGCTATCGAACTACATGCTAGTTCTTCTGAGTGCATTTTTACTAAATTAAGCAACGTGTGTTAGATACACATTATTGGCCAATCATAATAAAGGGGCTGAGCAATCAAAATGAAGGGTATTCATTTTTCTTTACTTCCACAGTTTTTATCACATACAGACAAAAACCATCCTTAAATCACGGATGATAATGACTTCATTGTCGTAACATTGAGTATAACGTCATAAAAATGTGGCATCACATTTTATGTGCATTCAACGTTTTGAAAAAAGTTGTGATTTGTACACCAATAAAGTTGTAATCGTTATGTATAACATTGCTGTCCGATTTGACAAAGTATGCAATCGTCCTTCAGATTTTTGCTTGACATTTTGTCCTCATATTTACTAAACAACCGTCTAGGCAGTCTAAAAGACATGTGTTGGTTCTCCTGTTCAGAGGTTTCAATTGTTCAAAAGGTCCATCGGTTCTGTTCGTCTCGGTAGGTTGTGTCATGGTATGGGATCCTGTTTAGGCTTATGTATCATCTGGAAAACAAAGACGTAAATGTATTGAAAATAATTTAAGTCGTGTTTTTTGCAGCCGACATATTTTAGGATTTCCAAAAAACATGATTTTACGCTTTGGATTAGTGTTTGGTTATGCTTTTGGCCAATCAAGAACATCGTATCAAGGCTAGCTACTGTTATTTTAATGTCTTATTTCGGTTGCCATCTACAATTGTAGTTCATCGAGAAACATATTTATTAGCACTAAAGTTATCTAGATACACGAAAGAACAATAGACGACATAAAATAAAAAAAATACCTGACTTCTACAACAACGCATACTCCTACACGGTATCTATTTATCTATTGTCTGAGCGGAATAACTGAAATAATATACTCTTGAGGTTACTTACAAACATTTGATATTTTACCTTTATTTATCATTGAAACAACCTGGCCTTATGCAGAGTTAGCAATATATGCGGATTCCTTTTGCTACCTTTTTAGAAAACGTTTTTGAACATGGAATAAATCGATTTGTAAACGTTGAAAAATAAGTCAACTGAACATATTTCCTTATAAGATTTAAGAAGCATCCAATATAATTTATCCCCTTTGGATAATGTTAAGCGTTTAAATACCTGTATTTTCTGTGACCTCACAGGCTTGGACATATCTGTCGTTTGAGTGGAATGCTGTCTCCTTGATTCTTCAACCAATATGATGACCAATACAACCAAAATATCCAGAATGGTCAATCCCTATTCGACCACTATCCCTAACGCAGTGGTAGTTATAAACTGTCTGTGTGCGTGGTACTTTAATAAAGAATACGAAACAAATAAGGACCTGCCAAATCATGAAATACAACACGAATTCATACTCGCTGAATAGAGTGCGCTCTCAATATCAAATGTTTTATTTCACTAGCTATAATCAAACACAAGTTTAGACTTTATTTCTAGGAGTGTCCTTATAAAGACGTAATAGAAGTTCACTTTAGAAATAGCCTACGATTTGAAACATAAACATCGTGTATATATGGTACGAAAACATCGTTACATTTATTAGTTTACAATATGAACGATGTTTCACTGTACAAGCAAAGGGAGAAAACCCGACTGTTTAATAGCATGAAGGGTGCAAACAGTTGTTCTAGTATTAAGTTCAACAAAACAGTTCAATAATATCACGTAGCCTCAAGCATCGTCAATACTTTACTCAGTGATATTTCCTTGTAATACACTTTACGAGACAAGACCATTTATATGTTACATTCATAATCGTCCAGCTACTAACAGCTTACAGCTGAAAACCCTTATCTTATCGACTTGTTTAAGATTGTCGTTATGGTTTAGATGGTGAGCGTGTTTTAGGTTGTCAACGTGTGTTAGGTTGTCAACGTGTGTCAGGTTGTCGGTCATCCTCGATATCCAGAGTTTACGCTCATTTTCGCTCTATACACCCCTGGAATATGTCATAGCAAAATTGATGTACACCAAAAGGATCTAACTAGTCTTCTTGTCTCGTCAACAAAGTGGCGCATACCACTTCCATGGGTGCAGAGAGCGAAAGTGAGCATAACCCCTGGCTATCGAACATGATTGTCGGTGTTTGCTAGATTGTTGGCGTATTTTAGGATGTCAGCGGCGTGGTTAAGGTTTAAATTGTCTGCGTGTTCTAGATTATTGGCAGTTTTTTCTGTGTTATTCTGTCCAGCAGAAGAACATGTACTACACCATTTAATGCTGCAACTTAATCAATTCGTTAACATCACAATAGGTTTAGAAAGTACCACTGCAGCAGTAAAGTGGCTTTTCTGACCAATATTTGTGACACGCATTGAATAATGTAAATAGGGATATATCGGTCAAGTATAGGCTTTGGATTGTACAGGTCCCGACTTTGACTACTTAACTTTTATTGCTTTCATGTTTTTTATTTACTTATTTATTTCTAATTTTAAACATTCGAATTTTAAAAAGCTACAATTTCACATGGAATCAAATGGTTTTGTTAACCATTTCCTTTGAAAAGACATTGTGAAATATTTGACAGTAGTGACAGCGATGATAGTAACGTTTTGTTTATTGTAACGCTAACCTTAAAACGAATTATTCTTTCCGTTATACATTTACAAAATATTGCAAAAATATATCAACTTACAATTACCGATAGTTCTTGGTTATGTGAAGGCATACACTGATCCGGTACATCAGTTCATCAATATCACGTGGTTACATGTATCCTTAATAATTCACTGAATGATATCTCTATATACAATAACTTACCTGTCTAGTACCGTGTAATGACGTCACACACGTATGTTGTACAGGTGGACGGGCAACTCCTGTCACAGTGGTCGGTGAAGTTTCCAGATGTATAGTCTTTAAATATAATATAGATTATAACACAAAATGATAGAATGTTTCTCCATTGGGAGAGAATTCCAAAGAAAATGATTAAGCAAGAAATTTAGCAAAAACTGTATATGACAAACTAGATCTTAACGAGACACCTATGAGGAATTTCTAGAATAGTTAATCCTTACTAGGCTATAATCAAGGGATATCAACCCAAGAGGCAGCCTTGTGCTGGACAGCTTATGAATGTTTGCCTGATAGTATAAATATATAGTGTCCATTCTGTCATCTGTTTGGCTTTACAGTTGTCCGGGCATGCCAGTATCTCCAAAGAATGTAATCAAATGCATATTAGTTGATATGCTTTTATTCAAAAGCTAAGAAGATTCTGCATTTTGCCGATAAAAAGTATTCACAGTGTAATGTGGCAAATTAAAACATGTTATATATGCATACTCATATACGTAACCTTACTGCATGCTGTTGGAATAGCTACAGAGCAGTATACAGAAGACGGGTTTAAATAAAAAAAAAAAACGCTGAAAAAATGAACGTACCAACTGATAATCACTTAGAGAATCGTGTACGTACCAACTGATAACTACTTACAGAAACGTATGCGTATTAACTGATATATGGAACAGCCGATGATCAATTACATAATCGTGAACGTACCAACTGATAATCACTTAGAAAATCGTGTACGTGTATTTTCTCATAGGCTGCTGATGTTTCTCCAGCAATCATTCTTGAGCCCCTTATATTTTCAACTCCAAGGCCCTCCTCTTTACCTACAAGGACATTTCCAATGTATAAAAACTTTGGGTACATTGCATCAGTATTAGGGCAACGTACCAACTGATAATTACTTACAGAATCGTTTACTGACCAACCGATAATTGCTGACCAATTGGTGTATGCGCCAGCTTATTATATATTACTGAATTATATATGTATTGTTAAACATAAATTACAGATTGTACATGTTTTCAGCTGGTCAGTAATTACAGAAAAAAATGTTTTTTATCAGCTAATCTTCAATTACAAATTAAATATGGATTGTGTTTAAATACAGATACGAAGGTTTTAGTACAAAGGTGAGAATCATTAGTCTATGTCTGTTCAATCAGATAAAACACAATTACTTTAATTCAGAAAACCCCGTACGTTGTAATACAGTCAACGATTAGGTAAATATACCATACTTTATTTCTATTCGATAACAATATGATTAAATTTGGAGCTTGATTAGTTGCATATTGATAATATGTGTGATGGATCATATGTATTGGCATGTAGCTTTTCCTTAAATGTAATGGTTTTTGACTCACGTTTTGTAACAAAGTCGATTTTCTGGATAAATGTTTCAAAACGTCAATAACAGTAATTGTTACGTGCAATTTTAAATGTCGATTCTCAAAAGAACAAATTGATCAACATAGTTATTACGTCGACGCTGTCTACATGTATCAGTTTACTAAAATATACGTATACATACCAAATATTTCAATGTCTCTGTAAACTTGTAGAAATGGTTTGTACATCCTTCCACCTTGCTGTGTCTGTTAAGTCTCCGTGACTTTGGCACCAAATGCACTCAAAGACCACTGACCATTACAACGAGAAACGAAGCGCTATCATACACACTCTTATGCCTACATGCACGACCAAGGACACTACAGGAAACGTACAGCACGTGACATTGACACTACATAAAACGTACAATACGTGACATGGACACTACAGGTGCAAATAAATGTATCATTTGTTGAATTTTCATTCAATATTTTGATCAATAAACATTTCGGGTACCGTATGACTATAAAACAAATCAGAAAGTAACTGTACCATTGCAATCTCCGGCGTTTCTGCCACACTCGTCTTTACAGCTGACTGGACAGGTCTGGGTACAGTCGGAGCCAAACAGACCAGGTACGCATTCTATAAACATATATTTCATTCCATATATCGATAATGGTTGTTGATAATTATGTCATCTAGTATGCCAAAGAGATTGTGCATTATTGCAAGGGCATTTTTTGCGAAATTTAGCAATATGCTATGGTTAATATAAACGTTAGAATAAGTAAATATAATAAAAAATACGCCGAACAAATCCTGAACTGCTGAAAGGAAGAATAAAGGCAAAATAAGCATTAAATATAATATTTGTTTTGTTCTTTCTTCATTTGGATCAGAACCTATTTGTTAAAATTACATTTGGACCAGAATCTATTTCAAGTTTAACAATGAAGTTCATGAGAGAAGATTTGGTTCTATTATTTATGCAATCACCGGGGTTATATACATATAATCAAAGTAAAATAAAAGTTTAATGAATTATACTGAAACACTATACAGCTGAATGGTCAGTCAGTTAATTACTAGCGAATATAGTGTCATTAGGAGTAAGTATATGCATATGCATTTTAATGATATGTGTAATCCACTTTGTTAGTACATTGTGTCTGTCTTTTTTACTTATTAAACAAATATTACCTCATTTCATATTGAATGCTTTTAACTTAATACAACTTATTATTTCCAACGTATGTATATATCATTCATACCAGCACAATATCCTGTGTCCTTCTCACAAATGCTGTCTTTACAATCCGTGGAGCAATCGTTGTTACAGTAATCGCCATACTTTCCTGGAAAAGAGTCTGAAAGTAAAAGAAATGGTGATGTTACCAGAGCTTAGCAATGTCAATTGTGATTTTAATTATTGTTGTGTTCAGAACGCAATCCCCTCTTCTAAACAAGATGCCCAGTGGTAATAATCTCAAACTTGTAGCCTTAAAAGTGGACTTAAATAAAGATACATGTAGACTTTCAGTATTTATGACTTTAAAAAATTCAAAAGAACTCGTTAAAAGATTTAAACACAGTTAAACCCTGTAAATTTGAAAGTGGGTTAAGGTGATTGAAATGAAAAAAAATATTGAAAGCCCTTCATCCAAGCATGTTCCTGGCCAACTATCAACATTTGTGGCATTTGGTTATTTAGAAGAAGATATGTAAAGGTTTAAAGCATATTTGACCCTTATGACATTGCAATATAGGTCAAGTTTATTCATTCAGAAGACATTGTAGCCATTAACCAAAGCATGCTACTGGCCAAATACCAACATTCTATCCCTTACAGTTATTCAGAAGATGTCGATTAAAGGTTTAAAACATGTTTGACCACTGTGACCCTGCATATAGGCCAAGGTAATTTATTTGAACAAAAGTAGTAGCCCTTCATCCAAGTATGTAACTGGCTAAATAGCATCAGTTACATCACCCTGGACCTTTTGGTTATTCAGAAGAAATAGTTTATAGGTTTTAATATATTTGACCCATGTGACCTTGAATATATGTCAAGATAATTCATTCGAACAAACTTGGTAGACCTTTATTTCAGCATGTCACTGCCTAAATATCATATTCCTTGGTCTTTTGACTATTTATAAGAAATTGTATGAAAAATGTTTAAGATAATTGACCCGTGTGACCTTGGATATAAGTCAAGGTCATTGATCTGAACAAACTGGGTAGCAATTTATCCAAGCATGCCACTGGCTAGATATCAACAAACTGTGCCTTGTCGTTATTCAAAAGATGTTTGTAAAGGTTTAAGACTTTGACCGCTGTGGCGTTGAACAAAAGTCATTGTCATTCATTAGAACAAACTTAGAAGCCCTATATTTCAGCATATAACACTGACCTGAACCTTTTGGTTATTCAGAAGTCGTTTAAATGTTTTAAACATATCTGACTCGTGTGACCTTGAAATTAAGTCAGGGTCTTAGCTCGCCCTTCATGCCAGCATGTTACTGGCCGAATATTCTCAACCTGAGCCTTTTGGTTATTAAAAACAGTTGTTTGAAATTTAAAGATAATTGTACCATGTGACCTTGAATAATATAAGACAATGTCATTGTTTTAATCGAACTTGGTAGCCCTTCAACCCAACATGTTATTAGCCAAATGTCCTCATCCTTTGTTTTCTGGTTATTCAGAAAAAGGTGTGAACATATTTAAAATATCTGACTCCTGTGACTTTGCAAATGGCCAAAGGTCATTCATTTGAACAAACTTGGGAGTCCTTTATCCCAGCATGCAACTGGCAAAAATACCATCATCATATGCCTCTTGGTTATGGAGAAGTTGTTTTAGGTAAAACATTGACGTCGGACGGACGACGGACGAAGTACATGTACCACGGCATAAGCTCACTTGGCCTTTTTGGCCAGGTGAGCTACAAATTAGTCTGAACACTTTTACTATAATTTCCTAAGTATTGAACACGGGTTATACTTTTTTTCACGGGCTTTCCGATGAAACGAGCAATGAGACGAACTGTTTTCATCAAAGCTATAAACAAATGTGGGCTTTCTTTCAAATCCAAAAATATTTTACATCTTGTGCAGCAGGCAACCCCCGGGCAACCTACCGGGACAGGCAGTCCGCAGACATAGAATGTTCAGGTGTGTGGCCAATATAACAGAACGAGCAATATGCAAGAAATGTTGGTGTATGCTATCTTTAGACGTATCAAGAAACATAGCCAGGCTTTGATATTTATCGGTTATGGTAAAAGAAGCTCCATGTAGGGTTCCACTTTTTAGTGTATAGGTCCACATGACGCATCTGTATAGATTTCTTACAGAAGTTTTTTTTGCACGAATGTAAACTAAAACAATTATAAGTACATAGTGCTTCTTGCAAAATCACGTGTTTTTGATTGTTGAATCACAGCTAAATCATGTTATACAGATAAGTTCAGTGATGTAATGTGTGTGTGTACTAGAAACTTACAGAAGCAGGAACCGGTTGTAGAGTTACAGTTACCACCATAACAGTTTCCGGAGCAACTGCTGTTACAGTCACCATCACCGTACTGCCCTACCTGACATCCTGTTTGAAAGACACAAAGAAAAAACGCAAACAATTTCATTAGGTTTTAGAATATCAATAAAATGTACACTTAATAATAATTTAAAAACATAAACACTACATATACTTCAAGTATCGGATGACCAAACAATCTAGATCGTATAAATGTTCAGGGTCAGGTATGATAATAACCCAGATAAACACTACATATACTTTAAGTATCGGTTGACCAAACAATCTATTTCTTATAAATGGTCAGGGTCAGGTACAATTGTATGATAATAACCCAGATTCTTCTACATATATTTCAATTATCGGTTGACCAAACAATCTAAATCTTATAAATGTTCAGGGTCATGTATGATAATAACCCGGATAAACACTACATATACTTCAATTATCGGTTGACCAAACAATCTAGATATTATACATGTTCAGGGTCAGGTATGATAATAACCCAGATAAACACTACATATACTTCAAGTATCGGTTGATCAAACAATCTAAATCATATACATGTTCAGAGTCAGGTATGATAATAACTGATGTCAGTTTATTATTATTACTCTAAAAAAATAGATAAAATATCAATTCCCATGATACACGTAAACGTTTGCTTATTCAATTGATTTAGACATGAAGGTATATTGGTTTATTTTCACATGTATAGGTAGCTAATAAGTCCGCTGGCTTTTGTTGTATTGAAATGTAATTAAACAATTAGAAATATATGACATGATAGTTAAGATACATGTATTATCAAAGGTAAAATACTCACCAAATACCTGCACCTCACATAACTCGAGAACGGCAAAATCATCATACCAAGTGTACCGTTTGGGGTTGTTTCTATAGTTGTAGACGGTCACGAACCGAGCTACATACGGGCACTGATGTGTCACCAACAACTCTACCTGAGCTTTAGTACTACTCTTGTCCTCATAACAAAGGACACCTTGTGTAGGGCTATCGGTGGTGTTAGACAAGTAGAGCTGATACCCAGCAAATCTTTGTTGAAAACCACCTATAACGAGGAATAATGACGTGCTATTGTTATATCGATATATCAAAATAAAGAAACAGAAGGCAAATAGGCAAAGCATGTATATGCCCTCTCCAAATATGCTCCAATGCATTTAAATCATGCTGAGTTTGCGACGTTAGAAGAAATTATGTAGAAGGTAGTTAGTCCACAAGGCAAAGGAAGGTAACCAGCTAATAATGAGGTAAAATCTCCCTTAAACTACCTATCTACTATTTATAGATTACACCGTACGTTACTGTGAAAATCGGCTATCATAATCTAAGAACAAAGAAATGTGTTTCCTTTGACAAGTCGTTACGAAGATACTTTAACTAGTTCAAGGAAATTCCCATAGATCTTCCGATATTCATCATTGTAAAGATACATGAATAACGGACTTGCGTTGAAAAAAGTTCATACATAATTCATTAAGTTTCGTTAAGGCTTCAAAACATAGTATTTTAATCGTATATAAGATGTCCAATAAGAACGCCATGTCTTCTGTAGCATCTGTTACTCAACCAATGGCTTTACGGATATGGGCAAAAAAAACGTAATTATTAGGTTCAGAACCGTGGCTTGTGTTGATTCTGAGCCCAACTTTTACATCCGAAAGAAGATTTTCATATCCTACAAAATGATTGGTCCCTTTTTATTCCGTCTCAGGTTTCCCGCGGTTTGATAGCGAACAATTTAACCACGAATATAGACCCTATGAACAAAGAGCAAGGGAAAATAAATATATCAAGAAATACATGTAAAATTAAAGCAGTAGGTAACACGTTTCAAGCAAGCTTGGTTCATATATGTAACTGTTCATTTCCCCGAACTGATCTGATGTCAGTTACCGACAGTGTTAAGGCTGTACACATCCCTCCTCAGACCAAAATGAAAAAATAATGACGTCACATTTCATTTTCATCGATATGATATTGAACAGTTTGAACCCAAATTTTGCTTTTATAATTTCCATAGTCAAGATTACAATTTTAGATGAAAATGTAGTTCCTGAAGTCGAACATCGAGTGCATTTTGTAGGACAGTTATCTTACACGAGTGTCCACATAGGACACGTTTATCTTGCATATGTAAGAGAAGAATGAGATATTTCTCTACCATCAGAGTAGGTCAACGAAATATGTTGAGATTTCTTTTCCTTAACTCAACATAAAGAGTGTCCCCAATTTTATAAGAAACATATATCAGAATCGACTTTTAAAATATTTAAGTCAGGACAATACTACAAAGATTATTTTACGTAAAAATGCATTTAGCCAACTAAAAGAAAAAAGAAGAAGACTGGTCATTGATATCATAATTTTATATACTTTATAGAACTACAATAGGTGATAGTCTGCAACTTTTTACTATTGACTAATACTTCGAGATCAATACTTTCTTACCTGTCCCTGTCTTCCTATTGTTTATATACGAACACTTATAGACAGGTATTACAATATATATTCCTATTACCGTAGAGTCTACAGGTAACCATGTTAAAGACGGCTCGTTTTCTTATTGAAGTAGTTCATTACAGCCTATCAAGTATTCTTTTGTAAAACAAAAGCATTATTCATTAATCTACCACAAATACTTTATCATATCAGAAAATGATATTGCAAATGAGTTAAATTGTATTCCCCCTCATTATTTTCGTCCGAATATAAAACAATTAAATTCAAATGATTGCAAAAGACATCAGTGGAATAATATATCGGTGCTCATTCGGGCTAAAAACTCGTTGCTCATCGATTAATTACAGTCTACAATCAACGACTATTTAACACCTATCAACTAATTCCTACCCCTACTGGACGACACATTTCTTATATAATCGCATTTGTGTATATACATATTCACAAAATACAACCTTACTAAAATAATCTATCACACTATTTACATAAACAGCTACGGCGCAGGCTTCCTATATAAACATGTGTGTTAGATCATCATTGACGAACAACCCCGATACGTCTCCACCGGACTCCTAACCCGAGTACTAACGTAAACAACCGAAGTTAATTCCATTGACTGTCATTAGGTAATCATTTGCATGGAAAAAAATCAATGTTCTTTTTAAAAATTCAAGTATTTTGAGTAACGAAAAAAAAAATGTACATTTACTTCAAACATGAAGCGACACTGCTTTTAAAACAACATTATACTTTTAAAATATTTTAAGTTAAAGGGGCTGGTCGGGGGAAAAAATACAAAATAAATGGGTCTAAATGCGTTCTCTGGCCTTCCAAAAGTTATACCACGGCAATATGATGGCCGAGTTCTGCTTGCAATGTTCAGTTTTGACCACTGAAACCTCGAGGAAGCTATGCGTAAATTTAGCGCAGATCTATTTATATATGTCACGTGGTTGTTTCGAAAGTGAGGCAGTGAGGATAACAACAGCACGCCGTCATGTGCCATGTCGGACTCAACTAGCGGACAAGACAGCAATACTATACGTAAATAATTGTTTTCAAAGGTCATGTATGATGCAAGTGTAGTATTCCTACCTATATGTTGTTGTTACATGTAACGGTATTGATACATCGTGCCTGTCATGACTTTTGCATGCATCTTTTTCTTTCGCCGCGATGTTTACATTTGGCCTTGTTGATGACGCGCGTGCGGTTAAATTACATCACTGATCTTGGTCAATTGAGAGTTTTAGACTGTCAGGTGACGATTTAGGATTTCTTTAATATAATTATAATTTTTACTCTTAGGGAGTGAATTTCAGCAAAATTTGAATCGGTATTTTTCATAAGAAGGTATTTTAAACATGTGTTTGCCATTTTAGCAAATATGACATTTTTTCCCCGACCAGCCCCTTTAAGGTACATCTGTGTGACGGCACAACGCACTAAACTAGTGTGCACAATCACACATCGTTCGCACATGGTGTACACAACCGTGTGGTTAACACGTGTTCGCCCCGTTGTGCGCTTCTCCCCATATTAATGTGCGTCTCGATCCAATTGGTTGATCAATATTACGGAATGAAACAAATGCTCGTATGTAACTTCTGATCACTATAATTTACATTGTGTTCATTTTTATTACAATTGGTATTAAACAGTATTATAATTAAGCATTAAACTGCATTATTTGAAAGTCATTTTCCTTCAATTCTCACAGTATTGCAGACAAGTTGAATAACGCGCTAACGCGCGTTATGATTAATTTGTTTGCAATCCTGTGTGAATTATAGGACAATAACTTTCAGATTAATACTTAAATTCCCGTTTTTAATTTCCGTTTTCTCTTATATTTCCAACCTGTTATCGCATTTCAAAGCATGTTTCGCGCTGTCTGTCAATGGGACTTGTTCTTGTTACGTCACGAGTACACGCGACCGTTCCTGGCAAAAATACAGTTCGATGAAACAAACACAAAATCATCAATTTTGTTTCAACAATTTATCAATATATACCCCCGTGAAGATATTCACCTTTTATACAACATATATAACTTCATAAGTTGTTGCTAGTTACATTGATTATCGGTCAAAACGACAGCATTTAGTCACGACGTCACGAACATGATCTTCATACTACAACACCAATGAAAATTATGTGAGATTAACAATCTGATATCTTTTTATTTTGTTTGGTACGGTTATATAGTGGCAATGCAGAACAAACGGAATATAATATTATAACTGTCAAGAATGGGTCCTGACCACAATGTAACAGAACAGGTAAATACCATAATTGATAAGTTACCGAAGTTTAACCTGACCTTTGCCTGACAAGGAAAGATGATCCGTGATACCTTATGACCGCTATGAAACATATAACCTGACGTTGTTAAGTATTTGTTAAATGCATTCGTGTCAGTCTATAACTCCCATTCGCCTTCATTTTCACACCTCGACGATTTACGTAAGTGCTCAGATGAAGCTACTTACAAAGAGCCATGTTCACCTGTATAAGGAACCGTGTCCATATGTGTTTCCATGTGTGTCATTTTTGTACGTGTCGATTTGGAGTGTTAAAAATCCGAAAACACCATTTGCGAATTGTTGAGCTATTCCTTAATTTAAACGAACGACGATTGTTGTCGCATTATGTTCGTCGATCGTGAACACAGATGTGGTCAAGAATAAAAACATGACGATTTTCGTCGTTCGCACTTGAACATCGTGTAACGCTGTGCGATCCCAAAACTGCATATGTAAATAAAGCTTGCCTTACCCAATTTAATTAAACGGAAGACGATACACTCACCTCTGTAATATATAGTGATCCTATTGATTGCCATCAGCTCACCCATGTCTACACGCCACCAGGCCTGTGTTTGATCTCTCTTCGTGTGTGCACAGCAGTTAAATTCTAAAGTAGTCTGTGTACAGCCATCCACAACCTTACGTGCTATCCAATCAACGTTAATATCGCTGCTCTGCTCAGCTGTCATCACTAACGCTACGTTAGCTGCAAATTTATTAAAAATAAACCACATTGTTAGTAACATGTCTATACTTTGTAGTTGATACAGATATAATGTTACATCAACACATTAAAGTAAGAATTAACGGTAGATATGAGAACATAAATGCCGATGTTATTTATATAACTTGTTATTAATTTGACACAAAAATAAGAGAGATTCTGTTATTTACACGGTACGCTTTGTTCGGAGGAATTCACGTCGCAAACATCGGCGACAATGAGACTGACATAGCGAGTTATCCAGGCATAATTTTCTTTCTGGTCAGGTAATGAAGTTAAAACTGCGGTTTTGCAAGTGTAAACTAAATGGACGGCGGAGCGATCAAAGCCAAATTTACTCGTGTTTGACCGGAGTTATCACATCATATATCAAATATTGATGATTTTTAAAGGACAACAGATGAATTTCGTTCCGTTTGTAATGTAGTTCTTAAATTGTACTACATGTGTGCTGTAGCATGTCGAACGTGAATTTAGCGCGTGGTGCATTCGACGAGATCGTATACAGCATACGGACGTATCATTTATTTAATTCATAATGCATTTCGCTGAAATAATTTCATTTCACATGTATTCTCTTTATTATTGTTTTTATATTTCTAGAATTTATGCTTGAGATAGTACTCGTATATCAGTGTGGCGTTCAGTAATGTGTATTGCACTGATTGATTGGACTCTCCTGAATTTCTTTTCATGTTTAAGGAAACATTTTATAATCGAAATTCTGCTGTACACGTATCTCGCATGCTATTAAATTGCCGAAAATTGTTTGGTTTATATTATCATTACTACATAGATACGAAATTATTTATGTACGGATGATGAACGAATGTAGTTCTTAAATTATACTACATGTGTGCTGAAATGTTTTCATTTCATATGTATTATCTTTAATATTGTTTTTATATTTCTAGAATTCATGCTTGAGATAGTACTCGTATATCAGTGTGGCGTTCAGTAATGTGTATTGGACAGATTGATTGGACTCTCCTGAATTTCTATTCGTGTTTAAGGAAACATTTTATAATCGCAATACTGCTGTACACGTATCTCGCATGCTAACAAATTGTCGAAAATTTGTTTGGTTTATATTCATAGATACGATATTATTTATGTACGGATGAGGAACGAAGGAGATCATAAACGGAATGTAGACCGTTGTATGTTACCTCTTATATTATGTTAAAGCTGATTGGTCTGAGAGAGGAACGACAACATGTGTACTGTGCTCCATCTTTTATTCAGATTGGAGTGCCACACAACTATACACGGGGTACCGGAGCCAACCAAGGGATATCACTCCAGGTACATCATAGTTTAGGTTGAACACTACCATTATATAATATACGATGTAGTCACATTGTTACAGAGCGCTACATTCCTCCACCCTTCTATAAAGACACACGAGACCCTCGTGCCAACCTTCCGTTGGTATATTTTGTTCGGCGCTAAATTTGCAACAGGTGAAGAGAAATGCACGACCAGACAATGACTCGGACTACGGACCATTGTCACGTCCGCATGTGTGTAAGTATGCTTATACCGCTATGACCGTAGTGCGGAAGATAGGTATAATAATAATATAATAATATATAACATTTATAAAGCGTCCTATATAATTTGTAAAATTACTCTAAGGCGCTTTACAACATATGGATAATAGTAATGGTTATAATTGTGAAAACAAACAACAAAGGCTTGCAATCACTTTCATACATTTAACAAGCAATGTGCACATAATTGAACAAATAAAAGGATGGTATTTACATGACGTCTTTGCAGAGATTCTAAATGCAGACGTGAAGAGGTGAGTTTGTTTGTCCCTCTTGAACTTGGCCAGGATATTTGACTTCCTAGTAGCAGATGGTAAGCCTTTCCACAACGTAGCCGAAACCCTCCCAAAACATCTGTTTCCGTAGGTCACAGTACGAGATTTTGGGACACACAACAAAGATTCTGACTCCGACCGCAGTGATCTTGACGGCTGATACAGGATAACAAGCTCCTGTAGGTACTGAGGTGCTGTTCTATTCAGTGCCTTGAATGTGTATACCAGAATTTTGTACTGCGACCTGTATCGTACAGGTAACCAGTGCAACGAATAAAGCGCAGGTGTGATGTGCTCTCTCTTTCGAGTACGAGTAACTAGCCGTGCTGCAGTGTTCTGGACCCTCTGCAGACGACTAGTTAGTTTGTCAGATATACCACAGAGCAGGGCGTTACCATAATCCAACCGAGAGGTAACAAGTGAATGCACCAAAATCTTGCATGCATCTGCAGTTATAAACTGCCGAATACAGCCGATGTTCCTGATCTGGTAGAAACAGGATTTGGCAATAGCGTTCACTTGTTTCTCTGTGTTCAGAGAACTGTCAAAGTATACCCCTTGATTTTTAACAGCAGGTATCACGGGCGGAAAAAGGTAAGCGCGAGAGAGACGACATACTATACGGGTAGAGCTAGTGTTGGCTTATCGTCTCTGTCAATCCGATGGAATTATAAGATATCCCAGTGTGAATATGAGCACAAAAGACAGTCTGCGTTTAGTATCGCATATCTCTCTCTTTTGTTTCTGTTATTATATCTCGGGTAAAGTTGTGATATGCCTTGTTTATCGGCACGGTCCACTTATGTGTGACGTTTGTTGATATGTCGCTTCAATGTTCTACACTGTTTAATAATATTTTATACATCTATGATGACAGATAGCCAATATCAAATGCATAGTAAATGCTTATATAAGTAGTCAGATGTATTTGTTTTTTTGTAAATATCAGTGTTATCACTGTTAACGTGTATCGGTTCGATAAGAAAATGTATGGAAGCACTGATCCGTTTGTACTAGCTTCATTAATATTATGTAATGGGTAAACTATTAATGGATTGATATTAAATATTGTCAATACTTTGATTTTTTTTTCTGTTGTAACAAGATGTATAAGAGAGTGAGTTGTTCTATATTTGTATATTAATTTATTATATCTCCACGTGACGGGGAACCAGTCATTTCGGGTGAACACACAGAACCTAGTAAGGCATCTTACTAGCTCAGAGCAAAGGGACCGACCAGAATGTTATCAACTCAACGGGGTCAGGGTCAGCTTCTAGGGATATGATGTCTTTCTTACAAGGTCAATGCTATCCAGAAGAACTAGAGAGTCATCGACTCAACGAGAGACAGGAAACCTAACCAGATATTGGAGGTTTTTCGTGTGTATGTCTTGCGGGACATAACCTTTGTACGGAAGCAAAGGTGTGTTAGCGTCATTGAGCTAACCTTTATCGCAGTAGTTGATCTATTCATTAATCTACTGCACTCGAGCTAGACTATGTGTTACTTTGGTATAGAATGTGTCTATCCTATGTCGTCTGTGTCGTCAAGAAGTGAAGAAATAATAAACTATAGTAGTATAAATTATCAGTGAGATAGTGAGTGTGCATGTGAGAGTAGGAGTTGGTTTTAATATATTCTTGCTGTAAATAAATTATTTACCTAACAAACCTTTTTCTATTTGTGATCTCGTCCAATGTTACAACCATAGAAAACTCAAGACGGTTTAACAAATTGCGCTATACAATTTACCTGGTTGTAGTGATTTACTGAGTTCAGTTCTACTACACACCACCTAACTTCCTCTAACGATGATTGTCTAGTTAATACTGAATCCCGTGTAAAATGTCAAATGTTGTATCATTGCCATACCTCTTTTACAATTGTCACCTCAACCAGGAAGTAAACTGTTATTGAATAACTGATCTCTTGACAATATTCATGTATGTTATTCTACATTATTTGCAGTTCTAAGTTTAACACACCTACCTTCAGATCTAGCTGTGTTGAATATCAGGAATAAGATCAGACACACATATATGTTGATCACTAAATTTGTCGTCGACATTTCTGAGCGTAGTAACGACTCAACATTAACAAGGAAGTATAGCGTACATCGTCAGAGGTTTACATCGCCTTACTTAAAACCGGTATTTGGGATACATAGGACTGCAACGTGTACATGTTCCGGGACACCAAGTTTAATCAAATGGATATTTATAACTGTGTGCATGTAGGCCATTCGATACTAAGAGTTTACTACATACCAAACCCCTTAAATAAAATATCAATTTCATCTGTGTTCACATATACCGGGTATACATACCTACAACAAGTGAATGTATACACATATACACCGGGTATACATACCCACGACAAGTGAATGTACACACATA